AGATTTCCCTCTAAACTCTTACTTTCACTGCATCCCACAAATTTTGATATGTTGTGTTTTAATTTTCATTCAGTGTTAAATACTTTGTAATTTTCCTTTCTTTCTTCTTTGACCCATAGGTTATTTAGAAGTATGTTAGCTTATGCCAAATATTTAGGGAGTTTTCCAGATTAATTTCTATTTATTAATTTCTCATTTAATTCTATTATAATCATTGAACACACTTCATGTGCTTGAATCTTTTTATATTTATTTAGATTTATTTAAAGGCCAACAATATGATCTTTTGTGGTAAATGTTTCATTTGAACCCTTGAAAAGAATGTGTATTCTGGTGATTTGGGATGTAATATGCTATAATTATCAACACATCAAGTTGATTAATGTTTTTCCAGTCTTCCAAGTCTTTACTTGTTATCTTTCTACTTGCTGAGACAAGTGTTGAAATCCCTGATTATGATTGTGGTTTTGACCCACCATCTTCTACCATCTCCACTCCTTTAAAGACTTTAATTACACATATATTAGGTCATTTATATTTGTTCTACAGTTCACTTATACTCTGTTCATTTTTTCCAGTCTTTTTTTTAATCTCTCTTCATTTTAGATCATGTATATTGCTGTGTCTTCAAGTCATTAATCTTCTCTTCTGATATTCTCATCCATTGTATTTTTAATCTCAAACATTTTAGTTTTCACTACTAGAAGTCTGATTTTTTTCATACCTCTGTGTCTCTACTTAACAAGTTGCCTTTCATCTAGCTTCTTGAACATACGAAATACCATATTTTAAATGTTTTGATGTCCCTCTCTACTAAATCTATCACCTATGTCATTTCTGGGTCCAGTTGATTTTTTTCCTCACTATGGGTCATATTTGCCTGATTCTCTGTATGTCTGGTAACTTTTTTATTGATGTCAGGCATTGTGAATTTTACCTTCTTGGGTGTGGTATATATTTATAATCTTATGAATATTTTTGAGCTTTGTTCTGGTATGCAATTGAGTTACTTGGAATAGTTTGATCCTTTATAGTTGTGCTTTTAAGTAGAATGAGAGCAGCTTTTAAACAAGGCTCCTCTTTTTCTGTTTTTCTAAAGTGTCAGCAGGTACCTGCTCCCTCCAAAACCTATAAAGGAATCCTTCCTTGCTTCTTCCTAGCTTTTGGTGATTTGCTGGTAATCTTTGGCATTCCTTGGCTTATAGATGCCACACTCCAGTCCTCTGTCTTCTTCACATGGTGTTCTCCCCATTGTTTCTTCATATCATCTTCTATGTCCAGATATCCCCTTTTTATAAGGACACCAGTCTTATTGTATTAGGGCCCACCCTAGTATCCTCATTTTAACTAGATTACCTCTGTAAAGATCCTATTCCAAACAAGGTCACCTCCTAAGGTACTGAGGGTTAAATCTTAAATATACTTTTTTTGTGTGTGTGGAAGTGGAGAACACAATTCAGCCTATAACAGTACTGTACCCAAATCCCATGAATTATGAAGTTTTCCACTGTTGTGGCTCAGAACAGGCACTGTTGCCTGCCAATGTAAGCTCCTGAAATTGTTCTTTCTAAATCTTTTGGGTGGTTCTTTCCCTAGCTTTGGGTAGTTTCCTCACCTGCATGTACTGATCAGTATACAGATGAAGACTCACCGGGATTCTTGCAGATCTACAGAGCTCTTTCTGGGCATCTCTCTAGTCTCTAATGCTTTGTCCTACAAGCTGTAGCTGCTTTTACCTCCTCAGACTTCTAGTCTCCCCTCCTCAGCTTAGCTAGACCTACTAGCTTCCTCTCCTCAGCTTAGTTAGACCTACTAGCTTCCCGGGTTTCCATCTCCTCACTGTGTCCTGCAAAGTCTTTCCAGGAAGTAAGCTGGGCAGTGATGCACACACCGCCTTAGTTTCCCATCCCTTAGGGATCACTGTCTTTTGCCTAATGTGCCATGCATTGGACATAGTTTTTTCAGATATCTTGTTTGGTGTACCTGTTGCAGGCAGGAAGGTAAACCTGGTCCCATTGCTCCAACTTGTTTGGAAGCACTGGTATGATTTTCTAACCTGTATCTGGGTGGCTGATTTCTACTAGAAAAAACAATCACAAAGGATGTATTTTGGTACCAGTATAGAACTATAGACTTCCAAATTAACCACGATCTCAGTGGTACCTGCTAATAATTGTTTTCTTATTTTACCCCTTCCTCCTCTCATTCTCCAGAATGTCTATTGAGTATCTTCTCAATCTCCTCAAACCTCATTTCCCCCATGTCACTCATAGCAGCTGACACTGCCTCCTAACTTCACAGAGAAAGTAGAAGCCATTGGAGGGGAACCTCCTCGACTTGTTGTGACCCAGCCAGCCAACACCTTTGCCTTCTTTGGCATACTTCTTTTCCACTTTTCCATTTTCCTTTCTGTAACAGTAGAGACGAACTTCCTCACATTTTGGATGAATTTAATTCCTTCACATGTTCTCAGTAGTCTCTTCCTTCTCTTTGGGGATTTTGCTTAACTGATTATATTCCTCTTTCCTGGACCTTGAAAACCATTTTAATATCTTCTCTATATCAGCATTTAAACATTCAAGTTTCCCTCATCTTTAAAAATAAATCCTAATTTGGTCCTGCTTCTTCCCTGTCCTCCTCTTTCCTCTGTGGTTATCATTTTCTCTCAAAGCCAGATTTCTAGAGCAGTTTGACTATTTTTCTTTCTCTTTCTCTATTTCTTTAACATTGGTTCACTTCCTAACCAACTCTAACCTGACTTCTGTTCCTCTATTCCCCTGAAAGTATGCTTACCATGGTTGGAGATTCCTTTCTCTGGTGGACATTTTTGGTTCATCTTAAATTATCTTATTTCTCATACCTAGGGACAAAAACCTGTTGTCTTAGAATCACAACAGAAATTTGTTAAAAATACAGGAATATCAATTCTGACTCCTGGAAATTATGATTCAATAGTGCTGGCATGGGATCTGGAATCTTTTTTTTAAAAATCCTCAAGTTATTTTGTTGCATAGGCAGGTTTGAGAAGCACTGTTCTCCTTAGTATTTAACACTGTTCTTATCTAACCTAATAATTGTTTGATATCAGTTAATACCATAGACTCTTGAAACATTCTTTCCTTGACTTCCTTGCAGTGTAGGCCCCAGTCTCCTCCAACCCCCATCTCTGCCTCTTCTTATTGCTCATACTTGTTTGCCCATTCTTCCTTAGTCACCTTTGGAAAGGGCCGCATCCTAGTGACCTCTCAAAAGCTGCTATTCTTCAGGGCCTTCTCTTATCACTAGGCCTTCTCAAATCAGTCTGAAGGCCTACCCGATAATCTCATCCAATATCAAGGTTCTAGTTACCTTCTTTAAGTTAGTCATTCTCAGATCTGTGTCTCCAGCCATCTCTTTCCTGAGCCTCAGATTTTTATATACAGCAGCTTTGAACATGACACCAATGTCTTAAGCTTAACATGTATGTTCAAAGTGAAGTTCCTTTCCATCCTCTAAAATGGGGGTTTCCTCCTTTTTTCTCTGTTTAAAGTAATGGCATTACTATGCACCTAGATGCTCAAGCCCCAAACCTAGCAAACATCCTTACTCCTCCTTTTCCCTCAAAATTATAAATGTGTTTTTGACTTAGCTTTCCTGTTTTGGAAATTCATCACATAGACATACCTGCCAATGTACGAAGTGATGACGTGCAGGGTTATTCCCTGTAGCATGTTTTGGAAACACCGTATGTATCCATCTGTAGTGACTAACCAGATAAAACTATGGGATATCCACGCTTTGGAGTACTATGATCTAGCTATAAAAATAAGAGAAAGCTCTATGTACTGGGAAGATCTGAAGGATAATAATAATAATAATAAATGAAAAAGCAAGAAATAGAAGAGGACATATATGCTATTTTTTATGTAATAAAGGGAAAAACTAGTAATACATTATTTGTATATGCATAAACAAACACTGGAAAGATGCATAAGAAACTAATGTACTATATTACTATTGAAATTTAATAGATTATCAGATGGGAAACTTCTTATGTGATCATGTTTAAGTTCAGACTAACCTTTCAAACTAAGCTTTCTAGTTAAGCTGAGAGCATGTTGTGATTCAATATTGCTATACTTAGGTTTTTGGCGTCAGAAGTATCTCCTATTTTTCCTTTTGTTTCCTTGTGATAAGAACTTTTAAGATCTACTTTTGTATGTTAGTTACATTTCAACTAAAGAAAAAAAGGCACTGAATTTATCCTTTCCCTGAATAAATTACTCTAAAGCTATCAAAATACCCATCTCTAATTTAAAAAATCTTATGGCATACCAGGAAGATGTGATTCCAGTTTATTCAGATATTTTGATCCAACTTCCTTTTTGGATATAACACGAAAATCTACAAAGCAATGTAAGGGAGAATATTTTTTATCTTGTCAGTAAATAAAAACAAAATGGAGAGATCTATTCTCTTAGCACCTTTCAAATATGTGATGTAGTATTATTTACTGTAGTCACCATGCTGTGCATGGACCATTGATGTTCTTTAACTATCAAAATTCATAAATTTGGAATACATACCATTGATATTCTTTAACTATCAAAAGTCTAGAAATTCAAAATTCATAAATTTGGAATAATTTATAATTAATATTAGTATGCCTTACTTTCTTTTTCTTTACATTCTTGTAGAGATGCTTTTTTAGGGGAACAGAATTAATAGTTTTTAGGTATCAAGAAGTTTTTACTTTATGAGTAACAAACCTAAAATATATGATAATTAGAAATTATATGTGTACATTTTTGGCATACTTTCCAACAAGAAGTCAATTACCAAGGCAATTTATAAGAATACAATATGCTAGTGTTTTTTATAATAGTTTTTTTTACATTGTTGCTTTTATTGTTTCAGAAATGTTAAAAGTTGGCTATAATAATTCTTAAAAAAAACATTCAGCACAGTTTATTTCACTCTGAAAACAAACCACTAACTATCTATGGTTTGTTTTCCTAAAGGTATTCTTAAGGATTATTTAAGAGAACTTCCTTCTCCTCTGATATCAAAGCAGCTTTATGAGGCTGTGTTAGCTGCAATGGCAAAACATCCTTTGAAAATGTCACCAGGTGGTTGTGGAAATGACTCTAGTGACTCTAAGTACACCACTGACCTGTTGAATTGTCTGCCTGATATTGAGAAGGTAAGCATAATTAGTATATATTTTTCCTGAAAGCCAGCTAATAAGTTATATACTTAGCTCCAGAGCTACAAGTAATTTTTCAGATATTTGACATTAGTGGCATTTAGGAGTTCAAGTTCTACTTTTACCAAAGTTTCCTTAAACAGCATAAACCAAGAACTATTCTTAAAGAGAATAAATCTAGAAAACAATGTTATCATTTCTCTATATGGTTTTAGTCTAGGCATGAATGTTCCAGAAAACAATATTACCATTTTTGTGTATGGGTTTAATCTAGGCATGAATGCTCACTGTAAGTTTTTAGAGTATGGTAATCTTATTATTAAAATAATGTTTCCCATACAAAAATCAGGAAGATATAGAAAGGAAGAATGGAAAATTACTATTATCAATATCCAAAGGCTACTTCATTAACATTTTGGTTTATCTCCTTTTGGTATTTCAAAAATATAATAACTGTTTTAATGTGCATGCCTTAGCCTCAAGATTTAAGCAACCCTTACCACCATTTCCCTTCTACTTGCCCCTTCGCTTTTTCCCCCTCTTCACAATCTAAATCTTGGGACCAATATCTTTTGCTATGCCTGAAGGAGAGACAGGAGGATGGCTAGGTCTGCACAACCAGCCTTGACCTAACTTCAGCTATTGCTTCTTAGAACAAAAGGGAGAGTAAGAGAAAGATGTGGCTATTTGTCCCAATGAGATTGACTTTGCCTGTATTACTTAGCACGTGAGGGCAGGAAGTATAAGAGTCACTGGGTAAAAATGTTAGGCCCCAAAGTTTTCTTCACTAATTTAGTCTTTTGAATGTCCTGTGTCCTGCCACTTAGATTAGCAGGTCCCACTCCTTTGTGTAGAAGTGAGGGAACAGCTATACAGAGGTACATAGAGCAGAAGGGTGGGTGAAGAGGTAGAAGTATTCCTCTCCCGTACAAGGTAAAATTATGTGTCATTTTACTTATAAGTAAAGAAATGAGTGATAGAGTATTTGAATGACTTGCCCAAGGCTATGTACCTTTTGTGAATGTTGTAGTCTGTCACATGAATTTAGATTTTTCTAGTCCTAAAGCTCATGCTATTATTATCCTTTCTAAAAACATTACATAATATTCTTTTCAGTGGATTTGACATAATTTATCACTATTCTTTTCTGTTTAGATTTAGATAAATCTAAATAATCTATTTAGATTTTGAACCTATTTTTCTATTTCTTTTCAGTTAGAATTAAAATAAAAGCTAAGTAGAATTGCTGATTTAAATGATGTTGAGTATTTTAAGATTCTTAATATGTATTTTCATAAATTTCTTTTCAGAAAGGGCACAATTACATTTTTTGGCTCATGTTATTTAGTAGACCAAAAAAAAATTTTTTTTCTTTTAAGTTGCAATTATTGGTTTGCTACTGAGATTAAACCTATTTAGCCATCTGTGGTTTTTGGGTGTGTATATTGTTCATATGCTGATAATAGCCTATTACCAATGTATGTGGAGTCCCACTTGTATTAGAAAATGTATAGTGAATGGAAAAGAAGAACAAATATTTATTATTTTCACTGTTTTATCATTCACATATTGGATAGGTTTTGATGTCAGAATATCAGTTACAGTCACCTCTAACTTTCATTCACCCTTCATTCCTTTCCTTCACAGCCAAACCCTGAAGGAATGTTTATTCCGGCTGTCTTCACTTCTTCACCACTCAACACACTGTAATCTGGCTTTCTACCCCATCTCCCAGGACTTGTTCTTGCCAAGGTTACTAATGACCTAATCACCAAAACCAGCTGTCACTTTTGGCTCCAGAAATAAGTCATTATGATTTTCTCTTTTTAAATAATTTTAATAAATTTTAGTTTTTATTTCACAGTAATTTCTTCAAGTATGAAGAATAACCTAGTTATTTTATTTGTTAAATGATTGATCATATGCCATTACCTCAATTAGATTCCTTTCCGTAATTGCTCAAACCTAAGTAACCATTCCATTTAAGCAAACTCTCCTTACCTGTTTCTTTAAGATTAAAAAGTATCTTTTTCTTTTAAAAAATTTTTTCTTTCATTTCTAACTGTACTAGTCTTCCCTTTTGCATGGCTGTCTTCTTAAAGTATTTATTAGTTAAGAAGTACATTGGCCTTTTTCCTAATCCAGATCATGGTAGAATCTGACCATGTTCTGAAATGGTTGATTTCCTGTATTTAAGGATGATTGTCCTTACTTACGACTACATGATTTATGTGTACTTTAGAATGAATACTCTCACTTAGTTCCCTTTCCATCACATCCTTTGCTATTGTCATTTTAGAAGAGGGAAGAGAGGAAAAGTTGATATTTTTCCCTAGGGATGCATTCATGAGCATTTTTATATAGAGTATATATTTTATCCATTTAATAGAGCAAATTATATAGTTGAAACCTAAGGGTCCAGGGCAACTTTTCTAAAAGAAAATGTTTCAAGTTCCAAACATCCAACTTAAAAGCCTATCTTTGAAACAACCTTTTAAAAAGTGATAGATGCCTAGCTCTATTATCTGCTATAAATTGTATACTTGAATTTTCCCCTGTGTAACTCTATTAAGTGACATTTAATTTAATTTAATTTAATTTAGGCAACCCTAAAGATGTTGTTGGATCATTTGAAACTGGTGTCTTCTTATCATGAAGTGAATAAGATGACCTGCCAGAATTTGGCTGTGTGCTTTGGACCTGTGCTGTTAAGTCAGAGACAAGAGACTTCTACACATAACAACAGAGTCTTTACTGATTCAGAAGAACTTGCAAGTGCTTTGGATTTTAAAAAACATATTGAAGTTCTTCATTACTTACTTCAGCTCTGGCCAGGTAAATGATCCTATAGAAATATTTTTCTCTTTCAATGAGAGGGTTGTTTGCACTAGCTAATCATTAAATATGCCCATATATGATTGAAGAAAATCTTTTCTAGGTTTTGCTTTTTCAATGAATCGATACCTGCCCTTTAGAGTTCTCCATTTAAATGTTCTGCTCTTGCTTATAATATTATAGACATGTGTACACATTTAGACATCAGTGTATACATTTGGGGATTTGGTCAGATCTGAATTTGAATCCTGGTTGTGTCACTTAACAATCTGCCCTTGAGGAACTTCCTTAACATCTTGGTGCCTCAGTATCATCTTTTGTCATATGGATTTAATAATATGTTTATAGAATTTATTGGAGGACTAAATGAAAAAAAATGTATGTATAAGGTGCTCAGCACAACTCTTGGCACAAAATAGGTACTAAGTAAATATTAATTTCTTTGCTCTTCTCATTTTCACTTCAACTGGTATGAAGCAGAATTTACTTTTCTTCTTATATCAGTTCTTCCTGATATCTTTACTGTATTTGTGGTCATTCTTCAAATTATACAAGCTTGACTTGACAGTTATCTTTGATCTTTCCATCTTTCTTACCCATTCCTTGTTCCAGCCAATAAGAAAAAGTTGACAGTTATTTTCCTAATATTTCTCAAAAAGTTGCAGAGCTAAAAAGAATATTTAATTAGATGTTCTAAAAAATGATGCTGTATTTAAGTTCCATAATTTTCTTATCCTGTAGCAATTCCTGCTCTCCTCTACTACCCTGCATAGCACCACAAGTGAAAGTACTTAGATGCCTAGTGTCACCTGGTAAAAGTGCTTGAGCCCTGGAGTCAGGCTGGGATTCATATCTGGATTGCCGCCTGCACACGTACTTTAATTTCCTACACCTTAGTTTGCGTCTTTATAAATGGTGCCTACCTCAGGGTTGCCGGGAAGATTATCTAGATAAAACATCTAAGGCAATGAATAAAGTGTTTTGCATAGTTAGCCCTCAGTAAAAGTGCTTTGTTACTTTTTATTGACAAATGTGAGAGGGATAGACCAAAGTACAAAGAATGCTCGCTTTAGTCTTTTAAAATACATCTAATTAATTTTTAAAAGTGAATTAAAAGTTAAACTAAGAAAAATTTTCAACTTTTAAGTTTGAAAAGTTAAACTTTTGCTCTTTTAAATATAGGCTTAAAAAATAATTTCTAATTTGATCTGATTTCTGCATTTGGTGCCTAACATAAGGGATCTCTTAGGTTAAAGTTTTAAATGTGTTTCCTAGCTTTTCCTAGAACTGCTTTAATTCTAATAAACATCAAGAATTGGGAGAGGATCCATCTTATCATTCTAATCACAGTAAACTTGCTTGCCTGGAGATATTAAGTTTACTATCAGTACCTGATTCCTTTAATTATTTCTATATAAAAGGTTAATGTCATTTCATTATTTTAAAAACCACTTTGGTTTTGGGTGTAGGAGCAAAAACTTATATCCTGTGTTAAGAGATTTCAGATTCACTGTACTTCTATGACAACTTGAAACAACTGATTCCTAGTGTATAGGATCTTATTCCAAAGACTTGTGTTCTTGAATTTAAAGTTATCTGCTCCCTTTTCTATAACCTTCTTTTTTCTTTAGTTATCGTATCTCAAAGGACAGAACAGAGCAGAAAGATGAGAGTAAACACCAGTTACTTTTGTCCTCTAAACAATTTGCTTTTGGATTCAAGAAATGGCAGAAATCAGGTTGATATAGTGCAGTTACTAAGCCTAAGAAAATTAATGGTGACATGAGGGGTATAGGCCATAGCATAGTATCTTTGTGAATGTTCATATCTATGCATTTTGTAGGTTTTGGTACTCCTTGCTTTGTATATCTTATTTTTTGGTTGAGGGGAGGGGGTGAATTTCCCTTACTCCAGAGGTACAAAGAGTTGATTCCACCCTTATTCCACTCACCTTTGTTTTTACTTTCTCAATTTTTGTTTTTTGTTTTTTGTTTTTTAATTTGGGGCAAGAATATAATTTACTTTGAGCTTTCTATTGAAAAGGCTTATCTTCAAAGTGACTAGTTAGAACTGTAGCATATTGGCACTGGAAGGTAAAAATCATCCTGCCAGTATTTTTCAGATTGTCTTCTGCCAAGCCCTGAGGTACTTTGGAAGCAGCTTTGGGGCCAGATTGGCAACAGGTGGGGCAACAAAATGGAAAAACACTTCTCTTTTGATCAAAACAGTCTTTTTCCATCTTTTTATGTATTGCGTGTTTACAAAATAGTTGCTTTGAAAAATGGGTTTGCTGTTTTAAGAATAATATTGAAAATTATGGATAGTCATCCCTTTCACTTTGCAGATGGAGAGATAGCTTTAGAGAAAATGTAACTCTTAGACTGGTTGTTTGCTGTATCACATTTTCTATGATGAATAGATTTGGAGCAGGTTTTATTCTTTGGAAGATATATCATTTTTTCCCTAATCCTCTTTGTTTCATTTTTCTCACTAGGCTATTTTGTGAGGTCAGGGACTTCATATTGTTTATCCTTATACGCTCCCAGTTCCTAACAGTGTACTTGGCACTAACTGAGCACTCAGTATATTATGTTAAATGAGGTAATTATACTACAGGTGAAAAAAAACAATAAACATGATTAAAAATATAAATCAAATGGTAGAAAACAAGATAAAAAATTAAGTTTCTTAGTACTTACCATTACGCTTTGAAACTTTCTCAGCAATCAGACTGCATTTTTCATTTTATTCTGTTGAAGGTGGGTAGCCAATAGTGCTGAAAAATGAGAACTTCTTGCGGGGGATGGTGTTAAAATTAGCCATTTTCTCTGCTTAGTTAATAGGAAGCCATTTGACCATAAGTGGTTTAAAAAGTTGGTGAAGTTGATTTTTTAGAAATATAATTTAGTCTAAAAAATGTAAAGTTTTATTATAATTTGCTTTCTTAAATATTTCCCAAGAAAATATACAAATATAATGTCTGAAAAGGGTCTTGATTAAACAACTTTAAGCAACTGGCAGCAAAATAAATCTGGGTTTTGCAGGTCAGTGTCAAAAAATGCAGGCATAATAAGACAAGCTTACCACACAAAGTCAAAATGTTTTATTTTGGTTGGATCACAAACCAGATGACTTCAGGGTTAGCAGAGTACTGCAGTGAGTCGGTGAAAATAACAGGCATGACGCTTAAGCCCTAACAAGAACACGAACAGCACAGGAAAGGGAAAAACAAGGAGACCTAATGGAGATAAGCAGCTGGAGCAGAAAAAGTAATAGGAATAATTAAACACTGGAAAAATTCAGATATCCATTCTGCAATTACATCAGTTAATGGCATGGGCATTCTATATTAACAGTTACTAAAGATCAATTTAAAGTAAATGTCAGACCTTTATTTTCTAGAAAACTTTAGGTCAGGAGCTTTTAGCTATTAATAACTATATATAGCCATCATAAAGATGCAGATAGATAGAAGTGTTAAAAACATACCTATACAAGCATAAGGAATATAGTCAAAATATTGTAACAACTTTGTATGCTGATAGCTGGTAGCTAGCATTATCATGTATATAAATGTTGAATTACTGTGTTGTACACCTGAAACTAATGTAATACTGTGTGTCAACTAGTCTTCAATAAAAAAACCCACAAAAACATACCTATACAATTATCAAGTATTTTAATAAAATCGCAGTAAAAAAAGTGATGTGATTTCTGAAAAATGTCAAGACTTTCACTTTGTCTGGGAAGGTGAACCCTATACATTTGTATTATTTTACAGTTATTTTATACAGTAGGAAGCATGCATTCATTATATGTTGGACAGTATAAAGCTGACTGTGATCACTGATAATTTGTTCCCTTTATCTTAGTAAAGGGAAAGTATAAATGGAGAGGCACTGATGAAGAAGGAGGAGAAAGGTATTATGGACAATTTTTAATAGCTGTGCCTCAACATATTTAAACTAAGTCCATTTCATTTACAGAAGAGCCTTACACAAGTGTTTTGCTCAATATACACAAAAGAGTAAGCAGTAAAGCCTCTGTTTGTTATGAAGTAGTATGTGTCTTTATGGTAATTTGTATGGCCAGCACAGTGCATACTCTTAGAAGGATTAGTCTTAATATGAGGAATGTTATTTGAGATTGTTAGATACCTAACCAGAATGAGAAAATAAAATATCTGTGCTATTTTCAGGCAATAAATGAAGACTATTAGTAGCTAATGCTGTACAATCAAACTCAGGTAACAAGTGGTCAAGTGTAGTACTTGTGCATTTTAGCAAAGTTAAATTGGGTTGCTTAGTAAATTACTAAGAATTCACTTATAAGTGTTCATAGAATTGCAAAAACAGCCCCACAATGTTTAGAACTTTAGAGTAAGCACTTTAGAATGCCTTTGCCTCATTTAGATGTTTGAAGATGAAGGAACTTTTTGTTTTGTTTTGTTTATACACCAACATGCCTCGCCTGCTTTTTGCTCCAGCTTTCAATTTAGAAGAAACTACGAGCTTAGCTCTGTTTGAATTATAGCTAGATAATAATTAACTTGCACAGAAAGTTAGTCAACATTAGAAATTTGATTTTTTCAGGGATGTTATGATATAGCATGAATTAGTACCACTGAGCATTCTGCTAGTTTCTGTCCCTAAGCTTCATCATGTCTGGTGGGAGAAAAAATAATTATGGAATGCATTCTTTTGATAGTGTGAATGTTTTTCTTTTATTGCATGCTTGTAGTTGATTATTAAATGGCTTGTCTTTAGCTTTGTTGTTTTTAAAGCCAGTTGGATTGCTGTCACTAAAGCAAATTTGTTTGTTTCTAGTGCAACATTCATCTGCCAAAGAATCAACAGGCAGTTTGTTCCCAGAGAAGCCTTCTCTAAATTATTTGAGGCGGAAGAAAGAACGACCTTACATGTTAAATTTGAGTAGTACTGATTCATCAGGAGTACTTAGGCCAAGACAAACCAGATTAGACAGTCCACTTAGCAATCGTTATGCAGGAGATTGGAGCAGCTGTGGAGAAAACTACTTTTTAAATACAAAAGAAAATTTAGATCATGTGGATTATGATGAAGTCCCTTCAGAAGATAGAGAAAATTGTACCAAAATGTACGGACCAGATATAATGATTGATCAGCCAGTTCCCATGTCCAAAGAGTGCACATTTCAGACATATTTGACAATGCAGACAATTGAGTCTACAGTGGATCGAAAAGTCAATCTCAAAGATCTACAAGAAAGTATTGATACTTTGATTGGAAACCTGGAGCGTGAGCTCAACAAAAACAAGCTTAATATGAGTGTTTGAGATTGAGAGTTTTCATTTGGTTTTTCATGCCTTAACGTTTCAAATCAGTCTTTCTCCTTTTCTTATACCTCTCACAGTGATGCTTTTATTTTTTTACTTTTGAAACCTTCAATTAATTTCTAACAAGTATCTGATTCAATTAAAAACACTGTTCATCAATATAATTTTTGCTTATGTATTAGAAGATTTTTGTTGGTGTTAAGATAACTTGGACTTCTTGTGGATATTTTAAATTTTCCCATTTCTACAGAGATAACTTTTAAATGCACTTACTGGGTTCATGTAAGTTATTAGCCTTTCAAGATTTTTATACTATATAGGAAGTGCTCTTCTGTAGCTGAACTAGATGTTCCTTCTAGAGGAATGTTGCAGCTGAGTCCCTGTATGCTGCGACATCATTTGGTTACATTTCATTTGCAATGCAAATGCTGCTATAAGAAACCTTTTATAAATAAAGTTATATAAATATTAACATTCAATAAATATTTAAGCTTATAAAAATTAAATATTTTTATAATCCTAAAAATACGTATATATTTATAAGTGCATATATGTGTAAGTATTAGAGTAGGGGGAGGGATTGGCTACAAAATCACATCTATCTCTGAAGAATATATGTCATGAGGCCAAATCAATAGCTTAAAATGTCTTTTTCAGGGAAAGAGCATTCATGTTAAAGGAGTTGCTCAGAAACACTTAAACCAAAACACTAGAAGCATCTGCATAGACATAATAGACTTTCTTTTTCTGTCTTGCAGAAAGTCACACTCTCCCCAGGAAGAAGTCATCTTTTAAATTGAAATCTTCTAACTTCTTAAGGGATTAAGTGCCCAGATTTCTGCACTAGTGACTTAGATTAAAAATATCTTCACCTATTCTATGCATTTTTATGTTCTACTTTTTAAGACAAAGTAATTATACCTATAATGTATTTATTTGTAGTAGTGCATTTATATTATTGACTTTATAATTACTCTCATTTGTTTCTAAAGAAATCTTGCCAGCATACCACATAGTGAGTTTTAAAAATTAACTCATTTTGGCTAAGTATGTCTATGAGATAGCCATTATAGCAATCATAGCAGTGCTTGAAAATGTAAATTAAAAAGCTTTTTTTATTAAATTGGAATGTATTTTTTAAATATGTAGCCACAGAATGTGTAATTTCAAAATTATAAATAAAATTTGAATTACGACTTAAAAATGTAGCAGCCATTAAAAAAACTGACTCCTTTATATTTCTCTAAATATTAAAGTACTTAACTATTTCTATGTAAAATACATTGGTTAATGGAATACCTTGTTATTTAATTTGAAAACTCAATTGTTAAAAAACCAGGTATGTAACTATTTTATATGAAATTTTCATTTTTTAAGGCTCTGTAACAATTCAGAAGAATGCTAAAAGAATATGTGACAGGTATATATAATGAGTAAACATTCAAAAGAAATGTACTTTAAATATTTTGTAGGAAGACTCTCAGTCTTCTACCTCTTGTTGCTGTATCATGTATATCATGAATATTGTATGAATTGAATTAAGTTGTTCCAAAAAATGTAAAAGTTTAATTAAACTATTTTAACCTTGTTGTCATGCTATTAATTATCACAGTGATTTTAAGGATCATGTCATTCTTTTTAAACAAATGCATTAAAGCATTGGGCCATCATATATTATCCATAAATATATGTAACATTTTTTTTTTGGTCCAAAATTGAATGTTCCAGTATCTGAAATACTTTAATGACTACTCTTATTTTGTTATATAATTTCAGATGGGGATAATTTTAAAGTTAACTTCTGGCATCTTAAATAGAAAATATTAAACATTTTTTATTGTCTGAATCACCAAGTTGTAACTATAAATCTCTTATTGACTCTGCTGAATTTAATAGTACTCAATAAGTTTACTCCTTTGTTTTAAATGGCCATTTATTTCAAAGCTTCTTTTGCATTTTTATACAGGCTTTTTATAATCTGGGATCTTCCTACACTGTGGTCATTCCCTTTCAACCTGCCAGCTCTAATGGCTTTAAAGATTAAAAGCCATCTTCATTCTAGTGCAAGTGCCTGAGTAAAAATTTTGTACAATTCGGACAGAAAAGAAAAAGTAAAAGGGCTCTCCCATGCCGTGCACACTAACCCCACTTCCCAGAGTGACCACCACTTTTTATTCTTCAGGTGGCGACCTCCACCTTTCTAGGTTTAATGCTGCTGATGCTTGATTTGTTGCTTATGATTTGTTGCTTAAGCATTATCTGTTGACTGTCCATTCTGAAATTTCATTCCTCTCCATTTTATGCTTTTAATTCTTTTGGTTTCCTTTATAACTTTAGTAATTATTTCTTGATCCATTGGCTTTAAAGTGTCCCTTGGCTTCCTACCGTGGTGGAAATGGCCAACGCTGTACTTTCAAACTCATCACTGCCCTTTCCCTCCTAACTTCTCTAAGATATATTTCTAGTTTAGATAGTCTGTATACTAGTTTATATAGCTAAGTTATATTACTAGTTTGCACATTAAAAGATGTATATTATTTTGGGGAATTTAGGTTTTTCCTTTATACATGTATTTTTAGGAACATGGGGACAGGGCAAGGACATGGGACAAATCAGTAACTAGCAGTTATATGCTAGATTATGCAAAAGTATTTACATGGAAACCAGGTGATTCTGTTTTCTTCATATCTACACTTG